CTCAGCTCACTATCGGTTTTTTTATAGTTTTCACGTGAAGACTAGCTTTAGCTTATCGTTAACTGTTTTTATACATTTTTGCCAGTTTTTGTTTACTGTGTTTTTTTTAACGGTTCTGAATTTACTGCTTGTATTTTTAAGACAGTCTAAATCACTAGCCATGAAAAATTCATGCAAAAGACCTGGTTGCCGTTTCGCTGTTACATCTGGCATGCAATGTGACAACTGCAAAGGTTGGTTCCACGAAGCATGTACAGATCTAACAGCAGCAGCCTATAGCAGACTCAGCAAGTCTGATCGTAGGTAGGTATGTTTTACCTGCAATACTGATATCTTAGTTATGTTGGGTACCATCATTACTTTACTAACAGGTCTGAGAGATAAGTTGTCTAAGAATTTGGTAAATGATAGTATCATGACGGGTAACAAAACTGGAAAGCATAGGGCAAACAAGAAAAAGGATATTGACAGGTCGGTTATCAATGGTGCTGTTAACAGCACGAGTGATGGTGTGCTGAAACTGAGCACCATCTTAATATCGACTGTCATCGACTCCCTCAGTAAAATTGGGTCCCCCAGGGAAGTCTTTGAATGAGACAGTGGTTCCCAAAAATTTTGTAGGTGGTTGGACTCACGTTAACAGGAGTAAAAAGGCCCAAGCGTCCCCGCCGAAACTGAACATCCCAAGTACCGTGCGGAAATCAATTGATGCTTTGGCTGCACAGTCTACCCCCAAGACTGTCCGCCCGGTCATCACCGAGCCCAGGAATCGAAAACGCACCTCGACATCCAAACAACAAGATACCAAACCCAGACGCCCTGAAAAACCTGGGAAATCAATTACGGTTCGTGACGACTCTAACATAATCACGAACCTTAATGACAACCCCGACCTTCCTTTCAGTTTGCAGGACAAAGTGGTAGGATGCTCTGAGGAGAATTAAACAAGAGGCTTGAACTCCCTAGAATAGAGCCTTTGACCGTCACACGGCTCACTCGGGGGAAGGACTCTAACCACCTAAACCACCCGAGACTGCTTCGTGTTACACTTGAGAATGCCTCCGACGTTGAGGACGTCCTGCTAGCCAGTCACTTACTGAAATCCGATGGGAACGTAAGAATACTGCCCGACATACCGTATTCTGAACGAAATCTCATCCGTAACATCCCTAAGGAATCTCGCGAGGCGTTTTTCCGTGGACGAAATATCATTGTGCAAGGTGTACTGAAAAATATTGACCCAACTCAAGCAAACTCTGATATTTGGGAATGGAAATTCATTAAGCATTCCTTAAAACTTAAGAACATATTGACCCAACAGGTAATACGACTAGCCAAGAAAGACGGAGACTCTAGGCCCCGGCTATTGAAGATAACCTTCCCCTCCTCCCACGTGGCGGCTGCAACTCTGGAAGCATTTCGTGCCAATAGATGTCAATTGCCAACTGGCACCCATATGCATCCGGATAGGCCCCACGACAGCAGGATCAAGCACAAGGGAAAGCTGGAGCTGACAATTCCACTCGTGGATTGTCTTGATCATAAAAAAGTGTAAAGGACAGGGACTACCAACTCGGTAAACATCGTATAGTTAAGCTACCTGTCCACTCACGCACGGTTCATATAGATAAACAGGAAGAAGCTCACGCGTTCCAAATTGAAAGCATGAACTGCCTATACACGATCTCCGCGAGCTTGCCAAACAAAATGGATGAGCTACGTGAACTTAGCAACGCTAATGATTCCCATTTGATAAGAATATCCGAAACTTGGATAACGTCTCAGTTTACGGACCAGGAGCTAGCAATAACTGGAATGTCTTTATTTCGCAACGACAGAAAAACAGGAATGGGGGTGGGGTAGCACTATACATACGGTCATGCCTGGATGCGCACCAACTTCACAACCAAGAGTTTCTCAATCGTGATCAGTCAGTATGGTACTCAGTAAGATTGTCTACCACCTCGAAGTGTCTAGTTGGGGTCATCTACAGGAAGCCCACTGCCGACATCGAGTAGGACAAACGTCTGCTGGAAGGATTAACTCGCTCTACGCGTCTCGGATTCTCTCAAATCCTGATTCTAGGGGATTTCAATCTTCCTAGAATCAACTTCGTGGAACATACATACATTGGAGGTGACAACTCTACTGAAGCTCTGTTCTTCAACCTCATTGGTGACCTGGGATTATTTGAAAATGTGAAGTCGGCAACTCGTTGGAGAAACAGTCAGACGCCGTCGCGCTTAGACTGGGTATTCACAAATGAAAAATTCCTAGTTGACGACCTCTCAATCCTGGCTCCCCTGAGGAAAAGTGATCACGCAGTCTTATCATTCAACTTTGTCAGCAAAACGGAGCTAAGATATCCTATTAGCAACAAGCGCTGGAACTTCAAACGGTTGAATGTATTATCTTTACAGGACTATCTACAACAGGTGGATTGGGATGTTCACCCTCAACTTGAAGTGGATGCTCATTGGAATTTTTTACTTCACACGATCTTATGTGCTACTGACCATTCAGTTCCTAAAATGGTCCCAAATAGCTACAAACAACCTCTAATCATCAAAAAACGCACTCATCGTTTGCTAAGCCGCAAAAGGCACTGTTGGGTCGAATATAAACGAACCGACAATAACGACGCATACAGGCAATATAAACGCATAAATGACATATGTTCAAAGGCAGTAAGAGAAGACAGGCTGCAGTTCCAGACCAAACTTATCGATAAATTTGTCTCCAATCCGAAAAGCTTATTCAGTTACGCAGCTTCTCTTGGACAAGGCAAAACTGGAGTTTCCCAACTGCTTGGTCCTAATGGCCCGACCAGTAACGACAGTGATGCCGCTAACCTTTTGGCTGAACATTACTCCCGGACATTCCAACTGACCCACATCAACCATACTGACGAAAGCTTCACCTGCACCTGTACAGGACTTTCCGAAGTGGACCTGAGTGCTGACCTGGTGCTCCGTAAACTGCAGCACCTAAGAAAAGACATTTCTCCTGGTCCGGATATGGTTCATTCCGCTGTATTGAGGGAAGCAGCTTCAATCCTGGCGACACCACTTAGTGTGATGTTTGCACACTCGCTAAGCAGAGGCAAACTACCGGAAATATGGAAGCTGGCCCACATCACACCAATTTTCAAAGGAGGTCGGCTCAGTGAACCCTCAAGCTACCGCCAGTGGACCTTATCTCCATACCTTCAAAAATTATGGAATCCTTAATATACGACGGTATACTAGAATACTTATCATCCTTAAAGTTCTCACCTCAACAGCATGGTTTCAGAAAAGGTCATTCTTGTATGACCAACCTGCTGACTGCGGTGGATAGATGGACAACCATCCTTGATCGCAAGGGGAACGTTGACGTCATCTACCTGGACTTCTCAAAAGCTTTTGATAGGGTCAACCACGCATGTCTTATCAAGAAGCTTGGACGATTGGGTATAAAACCCCCTTTGATTGATTGGCTCTCTTCATATTTAGAAAACCGACACTTTAAGGTCATGGTTAATTTCACTCTCTCTCAGGCTATGGAATGTCCTAGTAGGGTCCCCCAGGGCTCAATACTAGGACCTCTTCTCTTCTTGATTTACATTAACGATCTTCCTCAACAAGTTTCATCTGACTTATCGGTTTTTGCTGATGATGTGAAACTTTGGATAGAGATACGTAATCATAATGATATACTAGTTCTTCAGGAGGATCTGACTCGACTTCAAAGTTGGGCAGACGACAACGGACTTACCTTCAACACTTCAAAGTGCAAGGTAGTCCATCTGAGACATGTTGCAGACTATAATTATAACTTAGGTAACTCACCTCTAGAAGTTTCCCAAGTTGAAAAAGATTTAGGAGTGTTGGTACCCTACGACCTGAAATCGTATGCGAACTGTGACAAAAACGCCTCTCAAGCAAACCTTGCACTGGTAACATTGAAGCGCATTTTTGGCCAGTTAGACGGTAAAACCTTCCACATAATCTTCAACAGTTTTATTCGTCCCCACTTAGAGTACGGAAACATAGTATTTCCTCCCTCCCTCCAAAAGGACAAGGACACTCTGGAACGTATCCAACGTCGAGCCACGAAATCAGTTCGGGGACTCAAACTCAAACCTTACGAAGAGCGCCTCCAATCACTTAACCTTTACCCGTTATAGTACAGGCGTCTTAGAGGTGACCTTCTTATGACTTACAGTATCCTTAGTACTTCTGGTCATCTCCTTAAACGTCTTCTTCAGCTTAGTCATAACACTAACCTCAGAGGTAACACCCAGAAATTGGAGACCCTATATAGCAGAAGACTGCAGACACAACTTCTACTACTTTAGAGTTGTCAAGTGCTGGAATTCGCTGCCGATTGAGCTAGTCCAAGCGACCTTCCAGGAGTCCTTTAAGAGGAAACTTATTCTTAAGGACTAAGGATAACATATTATTATGATTTACCAAATTCTTTTTTCCCTCTATTATCGTTCATATACCTAGGTTTTTGCCTGGAGGTATTGGTGATCCGCTGCTACTAGACACAGAAGCTCGTTAAGCGAAAGCTTCTTCTATTCCGTCCTCAACCATTTGAACCATTTTGAGCCATTTGCACAATCCCGGGATTTTGAATCAAGGTCATTGGTTGTTGTAGCTGTTGTGTCTTCAATCTCTTGCTTCAAAAGTATGGGTACCCTTTTTTCGTGATTACTTTCACATATTTTGAATAACAGCATAAGGTATTATTTACTCCATCATCCATACGTAGCTTTCTAACCTTTTACAATTGTCTTTTCACTCCAATTCAGGATCTTTTGCAGCTGATTGTACTTCTGTTGCTCAACAGTAGTAATTTTTAAACGCTTATAAATACGTCTTGCAAAAGCAGGCTGAAATTCGAACTGTCGCTGACTAGACGTTCAGCCATTCGCGTGTTTCTCTGTTCGTAGGATTTCTGGACAGTGGACACGACTATTTCATCGAATACCTAGAAAAATATGAGCGTGTTTCTGTTTATCCCAAATGTAATTGGTAAGAAAAGTTTGTCTATGTTACGTGTCAAGAGTTTATTTTTCCATTATTCGGAATGCTACGAGAAGTAATATTTTTTCCGATCTGCTTCATTGCCTACGGATTAAGATTTCAGATTTGTGTAGTAAGGACAGAAGGCCTACAGCGTTTGTTATTTCTTTCTTAGTATGCTCCTTTGAGTGTCTAGTCTCTATTTGAACCAGTCCATTGAGAGTTCAGATACCGCCGCATCGGGTAACAGATTCCAAATATTGATAATCCGGTGTGAAAACCTGTATGCCACTGGTATTTTATCCGTTCTTGGCTTTTCTACTCTCGTGTTATGTCCTCTGAGTTTTCCCCATCTCTTAGAAAGAAAAAAAGGAAGGTATATCAGGTCTGAAATTATTTTTTAATATTCAATACATAAAATTCAGATCACCTCTTAATCTGCGGTAGAACGGAGTGAAGAAATCAAGCTTTTCAAGCCGCTCCTTGTGTGGTAAACCTCGAAGTTCTAGAATTGAACGGTATCTGCTTTCTTTACTTTTTCCAGGATATCCGAGTCACCTTTCAAACAAGAGGTTGCAGCCTGAATGCAGTTTTCAAGCTTAGTTCTCATTAAGCTTGTGTATACTGCAGTGAATAAAGTAGTATCTAACTTGGTGAATATCCGTTTTAAAGTTCATACGGTCTTTAACGCTTCAGCTGTGACCTGCTGGCAATGGGTCGTGGTCTTAATATCATGACTCACTGTATTCTATATGCGTACTTTTTTATCTCGTTGGTAGTCACTATGCAGACGTGATCTAGATGTTTGTTTTAGAGCTAAAACGAATTGTCGTGTAGTTTTTAACATTTGATTTACTAAATTCTTGTAGGCTTTTCAATTTTCAGTTACTTCAAGTTATAATATAAGCTGCTAGTCGTTCCACTATAGATTTTCCTCAGAAATTTCGTTACCGGAACTTTGCCCGAGTCGTTCATTATCAAATTATTCTTTTACTCTTAAGGGTTCACATGTTATTTCGTCGAAACGTGGATTGTTATTAGGATTTGAATTCCGATCATCTAGCAACTTGTTAGTACTGTAGTACCGTAGCTCTCACTTGGTCCCTCAATTAATTAATAATTTCGGAATATGTTATAATTGATCCCCACGAGCGAACTGAAATGTGCTAGGAATATTTCGGCACATCAATACACGCGAAACATATTCCGGCCAATGATCCGCAGGTTTTAATTTTTGGTGCGTTTTGCTTTGCAATCATCATCAGGAGTACCTTTTTCTTTGTTGCTTTATTACCACAACATAGGAACCCAGAAAATTCGTTAGGTGGACGCCATTGTAATTATAGTCTCCTAAATGTTTCGAAACGTCTCACGGAAGTTCTCAAGTGTTACCCTAACCTACATCAAGTTAGGCACGTTTTTTTAGAAAATAACCGCAAATAAACCAGCCAGGTTTCATTTAACCTGGTTAAGTCTCAACACAGGGCAGGTGGGTAGATGGATGGTATTAGAGGACCTGTCGTCACCATCTCATGCACTCACTTTAAAGATCGTAGTGGATAACGTTTGTGTGATGCAACATATATCAAAAGGAATATAATAAGATAGCTTCAATTATTTTCGATAATAAGTAGTTCTTGATCATTTTGATTGTGTGCTTCTAGATATTTACTATTGTAACTATGAGTCTCATCTCAAACGTAGTTTAAACAAAGTTTTCCAAAAATTCCTGAAAACAAATAACTCGAATAGCCTTAATGCGAGAGAACTGTTCAATGATGAAAACTCTTGGGATATTTCATTCTTGGGGCCGTATCATAGTAAATATATGTATTTCTTTACAATGATATATACGTTTTGAGATAAGAACCGTAAGTTTATTTTGGAAACAGATATGAATAAAGTAAAGAAGCAGAAGTGTTCACAAGGGCTTTGAATTTTTTCCAAAGCTTCTAGCAAGGAGATTACTGATGGAAACCAAATGGCCGTGACTTAAGAGAACGTAGTGCGGTTGGTACTATGTCTAGCCCATATAGATTATTCTAGCCACTAGACAGACCAATCTATTCATTCTTCTCAAGCCACATTCTTACCCTGTCAATTATTCGCTTATTAATCACGACTGTTTTTTATATGTTCGTATATGTGCTATTTATCTAGCCTACTCATTATGTGTGTTCGACTATGAATATCATTCACGCTTAATTAAATTGAGTTGGCTCACTCACCTTCTCCATTGCGCGTCACTTTGTTTTGCTTCGCTTTCCGATCAACGATTGTAGGAAATATACATATTCAAAAATCCATTTTCGTATTTGAATTATTTAATTCCGTTATTCACCAACGTGATTCAAGTCGATAATTATATACGAGAATTGACGATATGTATAAGTCGTTGACAAGCAGTGAACGATATACCTGGAGTTAGATCTCGTACCAAGAAAGTATATCTCGATGGCAGTTTTTCATTCGATCGAACTGGAATCAGATACAGTGCCACAAAAATGAAATCGACAAAGAGGATGGCCGGGACTGTGAGTCAGGCAAAACCCGACTTCAGTAAAATAAGGATATCAGATTAAACGTGACTGATATGTTCGATGCCTCTGTTAGTTGACTCGTTGGTAGATAAAAAGGCCTCCGGTTTATTAAATCATAATCTGATATATCCACCTTCCACAAGTCACCTTTAAGTCATTGAGATTAACATACATTGTTCTACTATTGTAATCTCTGGATGTTAGTTTTCTTGTCTTGTGGCATCTGTAGGCTGTCGTCAATAATTGTGTGTTGTCAACAAATGGACATATCATATGATTGCATACTGTAAACCGACGATTGAGTTTTACCCAATAATTACAAACCCCCTGAAGGAGTGAAATCCTAATCTCCAACACTATAGTAGTTCATGCTATCCGTCGTATTTACTGTAGAACGTAGCATTAGCTTAAGTTGTCACCCCACATTTGGATAATGGGAAGAAATTAACAAGATGTGGAACTTTTAGGAAGATAATCTCAAATGTAGTAAGTTCAAACATAGGAAGTATAGCTCTCAATGAACAAACTGAATCATATGATATAAAGTATGAAATAATAATAAATCCAATATCTATATTTGACGGAGATAGAACATGAATAGAATCATGGTAACAACTAGCGGTACTTATGCAGGTACCTTCCACCAATTAGTTGCTCTCTAGTAAGAAGGGAATAAAATCTGCTGATGTTTAGGTTGAACTGAAGGTTTTATCCCGAATCCCAACGATCACTTTATTTAATTACCTCGGCTAGCCATTAAAAAGATATACTCATGCTGTCTTACGTGATTACTTAATCAACCCATCTAATAAGTCGCAATCACCGCTTATGTATAGGAATTATCGCTACAGCTCATCAGAAGTTCGGTACCTTACTTGAAGAAGACTTTGTCGGAGGAATGTGGTTTGTGAAACCTCTTACATCACAACATGGTTCAGCTCTTTTCACCCGTCGTATAGGTAGTTGAGATTTCAACATTTAATTGGGTATGTGAAGATCCATACAGTTCATTTTTAATCTCTCCACTTACATTGAGTCATTTGTTTGTCTTTTGTTCCCCTTTATTTTTCATTCAAATTCAAAGGCTTCTCAATCAGTTCTTTATAGCTAATAATAATCCTTGGTTAAAAAACAGCACAGCTTATATTCCCTCTTTATCTACCCCTAAATCCAGGTCTTTGTTATTATCTTGTATATTTTTCATCCTAGTTTTATTCGTTTCTCTTTGATTACTTATTCTGTATTTAGTCTTTTTACTGTTACGGGTATTATTATTTAAGATTCTTTGTCTTTAATGTCGTTAGTTTTCTACTGCTGTACTGATGTGAACAATGGAAAAGTAAATCAATAATTATTCGTTAAGGCCCAAGTAGTTTGGAGTTTGCAGAAATATCCAAATTTTACAATTCTACAGTTTACTTATGTTCACTAATTCTTTATGAGAGAAAAATATCAAATGAACAACATAGCTAACATGAGCTTTCACTATTGTTTAGAAGTATATTTGATACCATTCTAGAAATGGCTTAAGGTATTCCTTAACGGGATGACGCTCAGTTTATTAAACGACTATTTAACTGGGTGTAGAAAAGTTTGAGTGGTATTATTTGCTTGTGGTTAAAACAACGAAATATTAAATAATAGGACATATGGTGTTTTTTATTTGATTTTTGTAGGTTACATACGAATCGTACTTCTGTTTCAAGCATGTTATTTTATGAAAACTAATTGTGAACTAACTCTTCTTACGTACATCATTTCGTGTCTATTGGATGCGGTGGATGGTTGTGCTGCACGCGCGCTAAACCAAAGTAAGACTCTTTCAGTAACGTCTTTCAGTGATTTCATTTAGGTACAAAGTTTGGTGCTATGTTGGACATGATTGTTGACCGATGCTCAACAATGTGTTTGTTGGCTTGTCTTATTTATTTTTATCCATCATACATACTCTTTTTTCAATTCAGTATGATTGTGGACATAGCTAGCCATTGGCTACATTTACACAGGTGAGAATTCATATCGTTATCACTGGTTTAGTTCTGTTTTATCGGGAAAATCAAGTCATAAATTTATAGATCTTAAAGCAAATCGATTTCTCAAATTGTACTATACAAATAGAGTAGGTCATATCATTTTCAAAATTTATTCTTCATTATCTACAGATCATCCTTTTCTTGATGTGTGCAGGAAATGAACTTTTCTATACAACGCTGTATATAAACCATTTCTATACCGGACCAAAAGGCAAGTATACACATTTTATTTTTCATGTTCTACTGTAAGTTTAACTTGCTATGAATTAGTTAGCCAAAACTCTGAAGACTATACAGCTATATATGGTTAGTGATTTGTTTGTTTGTGAGATAAAACTTCAATTCTAGCCCATCATTTATGTACCAACACGTAGTTTTTTCTGATTTTAAGTCTTTAGGGGTTCTCTGGGACCGAATCATAATCCATTTTAAAAACTACAAGCTGATTTTTCAATTTGTTTGACAGAAATATCCATGGTTATTATGATTAATGCTTGAAAAGTGGGTTTGTAAAGAGCTAGGAATAGTAACTGTTATGTTTAAGCTTAGTTCGGTTGTCTTTGACAATCATTTGTTTGCTATACATCAATCTGTAATACAAATCGGTTAATTATATTATTATTATCGGCTAATTAACTATACATACAACTGACTGACAGTTAAAGTTCTCTTAAGTAAATTGATAGCAAGTGATACATATCGCTCTATCTGATATTCACCTTAAGTAATAAAAGTTTTGCCTTACAATAATTCAGCAGGTTTTTGATTTTAACATTCCTTTTTAATTTTGATATCTCAATGAGGCCATCGTTTTCTTGGAAGTTATTACCAGTTATGTAAATATACTATATGGAAACGATCTCTAGATTTTAAATGTTTAGATAGTACTATTTTAATGTACAGTAGCACACATTACGCAATAGATATTTAACTAGTAAGCGATAACTGTTCTCACATTTTGTGTTTTGCAATCTAAGTGGAAGGCAATTCTGAAACCTTAATAGATCTGTGTCCTTTGCTCAATTTGGTGTCAAAAATAGTCTAGTTTGTAAACTTAAACTGTTACATGAATGCTATTGTTTCGATAAAGACAAATGTAGTACTTTAACCTACATAGCTTATTATGTCTTTATGTCATAATACTTTATCTTCATTTTTCCATTATTAAAAAATCTGATGATACACAGCTTAGAGTTGAGACTGGACTTTGAAATTGTACAGTAGTAGATATGGACTCCGATGCAATATCAAGTGTAGAAACATTTATTTTATAACTGATATGACAAATTGAAGAGAAAAATATATATGTGCAACGTTTTACGTTGTTTATATCTATAGAGTTGTAATATCGTTTTCATTCATTTTAACCGTACTAATTATGAATTACCAACTTTTTTTGTCAAGGGAAGTATGGTAATTAATATTATAAAAAGTCGTATGACATGGTATAAAAATCTTCCACCTCATTTGTGTTTTTTCTTTTCTTTTCTTTGAGCAGTATTTGGTTTTGGGTTATGGAGTATAGTGATTTGTTTAACAGCACCAATAGCATTTCTGAAAATGTTGATTAGCCTTATTCAGCTTCATGCAGCTTGTGTGAATATGGCTTCAGTGGATGAACTAGAAAGATCTCAGAATAAAGCCGATTAGTTATGTCTACTGTTGTTAATTCGAAATAACGAGGTATATATATATATATATATATATATATATATATATATATATATATATATATATATGATAAATACCATTCCAGTTAATGTATGTCTATAGCATTCAATGTTTGAGCTAACTTGAGTAATTTTTAAGTACATTATTTTGTGTTGTAAGTCCCTTTATAATATTTTTATGAATACTAAAGCTGAAAAATTCGTGAAATTGGTTCGATGTTAAACTACTTTGCTTTCTTCTCATACTTATTCATACTTTCAATCAATATTATAGAACTGTTTATTTTCCACTCGTGTATTTGCTTCTTATTTGCGTTGTTTCTTTATCGTTGCATTTCCTATTTATCTATCATCAAGTTAATTCTATTTACTTTAAACTTTTGAACACATTAGTTATTAGTATCATTTGTAATGTGTTACACGTGTCATATCTAATTTCACTTATGAATTTCATTCTTTGCATAATTTTATGTAGTTTGCAAGTTTTCTATCTTGATAAGTACTTTACGTTTTATTTAATTTTATTGTCCGTGATATATTACAGAGTAATTTTCAATGTTTTTACCATAGTGTATATATTCTGTTCAAGACGTTAGTATTAAAACCAATCTGACTGCACTAAATAAAATGGTATATATTCCACTGGTAGGTTTATTGCCAAACAGTCAAAACGTACAGATTATGTTGATATTAAGATGATCAAAACACGTCAGCGTAAACTCTGATCCCTGACTGTAAATAATCCATTTATCTTATTATGGGATAAAATGGCCGTCCAGTGCTTCCAGGTTTTTACTGGTAATCTAACACTGACCCATTCATGATCTCAACCAAAACTCAACTATCTCCACAACCCTATACTGATAATCCATTTATCATCTATTTTCTCTTATCTGGAAATCTTTACTCGTGTCTAAATGCCACATAACCTTGATTTGTTGTGTAAATTTAACAACTTATGTTCAGTGGCATAAGTATATATCATAGCCAGTTAGAGTTATTCGTTATCATCATTTATTTTAAGGTTTGACTTTAATTATTAAAACTTGTCACTGTGTAATGTTATTTTTGTTCTTATGGTATGTATTTCGATTGGATCAAAGTTTATATAAACTGGTTAGAATCGTATGCCAACTATTAAAAATTATCGTCTTAGTTCAACTATCTGGTTTTTTATTAATTGGATACAGTGTTACACTACTTTTAGCAATTCATATTTAGTAACCCTATTAAGACAGCAGTCGTAAAATGATCCCTGCATAAATAGTAAAACAAGTGGTGTACTAATTACTGCTTGTTATCTTCTTACATTTTACTTCTCTTCTACTGAATTTCCATAAATTTCATAATTGATATCACTAGATTGTTTACAGCTACACTTCATCTCCGTTCACCACTACTCGTCTGTCACTAACTCAAAATTCTCTTAAAACACAGATGTACATATGTAGTTGTGTAATAGCATACCAGTAGGTCTTTTAAAGAAAAATTGCCACTAAATGAAAATTAAAATCAAAGTAACGATATTATCAATAAATCAAAAATATTATATGTAGATATATTTTATCCAGTACATTTTATTCTGGTAATTTCAAGTCATTACAACCCGACCGTTGCTGCTACCTTGATGTGGTGGTCTGGCGTGCCTATCATAATGAACCAATCGAGCTATACTAGCTGGTACAATCGCTTCTCGAGGTTCTACTATGCCAGGCAGGTCGGTTGAAGAGAGGTAAGACTAAAAGCAGCGAATCCAAGGTTCGAAGGCGAGGTCGTACTGCTGACTGTACAGAGGTGTCATGGCAGTAAGGTCTTTCTCCGACAACCAGCATAACAGCAATGCTGCCTTCCCACAAGGAAGGGTGGGATTAGAAAGTACCGACCCTAATAGTGGATACCTCGCTTTATCCCATGGACTTCCGTCTCCGGCAGTAAGGTCCCAACAAGTACGGAACTAACACAAAAACTCACAAAAAGGTCGTGTGTGACCGGCCTTAGGCAGTTGTCCCTTGAGCACTGCTCTCAGATCAATAAGACTACCGCGAACCCAAATTCCTTTTCAGGTACCTCTAGAAGAACTCTCACGGTATGGGCAACCGGGAAGTGATAACCGCCCTCATACAGCACTTAAGTCATGACAAGCTTCTTGTACAACTACTAATAAAGTGTCAAGCTAAGGCTGAAGGATCCAAAAAATACTAAATTAATAAACTGAATTTTAAGGTAAAAATATTCAGTCAGAAAATTGATTGTTACTATTTCTGTTATACGTCACATCAGAATTAAATATATCCAAATATATTAAAAAAGAACAATCGGCTTATTTTCAACTCTGAACAGTCAGTCCACAGTGAGGTCAAACATTCAGTCTAATCAATAATATTTGAAAAATTATAACCAATAACTAAACATATGTGGTACATCGACAAAAAAATAAATATGAAGTAAAGAAATACCAATACTTTATTCATAATGTCATGTTTGTAGTTGTAAATGAATTGGAATTTTTGATTCTCCCGCTATTGTCTCGCTATTTATTATCGATAGTTCGATCAAAAATTATTGACTCAGATTCTACAGTATTCACTTCTTATCAAGTGTTCTGCGATCTATAGATTAGTATTTCAGCATGCGATCATATCAAGCTAGGACTTCAATGCAACTGAATATATATGAATCGAATTACTAAAAAATGATCATAACTATATTATTTCAGTCGATCTTTGCTTGATGCTTACTAAGTAGGTAATAAACTGATAGTGATCAACTAATCATAAAGTATTATGTGATAAGTAGTAGATCCGTCTCCGAAAACGCCTATCCATTCTAGAAATAAATAGAACATGTTTAATTGAATTCTGTTGTTTGTATTTGTGATCCGTTTATAATGGGAAGCCAGGAAAATATGCCATATTTACCAACTTTTCACATTATGTAAAGAATTTACATTAGGATAGATATGTTGCTGGTGAAAAGGAAATTCCCTTCGTTACCTTCGAGTAAGTTGGTCAGTTCGGTAACAGTCTACTTGTATGACTGAACAATAAGTAGGCTATAACTTTTAATCTCATTAATATTTATGGAATAGCTACTTGGTGGATACAAAAATAGAATTTTAGCCATTTAAGTTACAAGAATGGCAGCTACACGGCTCCGGCGCGGGTAACTCGGTTGTTTCGTTAGACTTCACACAAAAATGTGACCAAATTACAAGATTCAATCTGTCAGTAATGATCAACGTAAAGCGTGATACAGATGTGCGTTGGCCCAAATTATCATGCCATATTAGTACGACGAAATAAAATTAATAGCAAAGGAATCGAAATAATGTAACAACAATGATATTGAGAATAACTGAACAGTTAGAATGTGGTTCAAAAAGACAATGAAGGGGTACTGGACAATTTCAAATAAATGAAGTAAATTGATAATAATAAAAATAATGATATCTTAATAAATAAAAAAATAAGTTTCTAATCTTTCAAGACCTAGTATAAGTTGCTTGTTCAGAGGGTAAACAATTAAGCGCATTAAAGTATGATAAGTTTATTTGATACAGAGGAACAAAGCATAGTATTCAGTACAATAAGAAAAATCAGATGAAATGAACGCACTTCATTTCAGTTCATATGATTTTATGTGAGATGTGCTTGTGTGTGTATATAGTCATGGATAGTACGTAAAGTTCTGAACATGAAGAAAAGTCAAAATTACATTTACTGTGACAAAAATATTGTGGTTCATTTGACCATGTTCTCGTTCGTCCTGAAGTTATGATTATGGAAACAATCAAATCACACTATTTTCTACTTTTAGCCCTATTTGTAATCTGATCACAGAACTAAATTGTTTGTCTTAAATATAATCATTTATTTAATAGCTCATGTGAGCAGAAACCAGGCAAATACTACCTAAGCTGGCGACTATTTGGTTGTCAGTAATCCGATTATTTTTTGCGAATACATAATCTGAGCACAAGAACACTGTATACCTATCTTAACATAAACTGAAATGAAAATGAGAGTAGATCTTATTGATGAAATATGATTTGGCAACAAATACGGCTGTTCCCCTTAGTACCTTATAACTAACTGAGGAGTAGCTCTATCGAAACTGAACAGCCGTTACCGAGAGCGCAGCCAGATATAAAGGTCTGTTGTCCGTCGTGGAACATTGGCTAACGACCAGGATTCTCCAACCTATTGTGTCCTGCTCTTTTCCAGTTGTTCCCCAATCATATTCATTCCCGAGATCTTTGTCTCCCATCTACAGCGTATTGTGTTCTCTGATCTATCTCATTTCTTCTGCCTTTAAAATCCCAAGCTAGGACTTGGCCTGTGGTATGTTTCTTTGTTTTCCGTAAAGTGTGACCTATACACCTACAACTTTTCCTGCGTATTCACTCATCTGCAGCTTGTTTGTCATCTCCTACTGATGGCCGCCATCCTGTCCTGTGTAGGCAGTTGTTTATAAGTACCTGTGCCTTTTTGATGATGGTTTTAGTAGCTTTTTAACTTTCTACTCTGTACAACAGAACTATCTTGATGTTTTTATTGAAAATTCTGACCTTGTTCTTGGGTGATAGTTCCAAAAAAATTTTAATTGTAGGAATGCTTCCCTTGCTTTGCCGAATCGTGCATTTACATCTGCATCAGATCCCCTTCGTTCATCAATGATGCTCCCTAGTTACGTAAAGGTTTCCACTTATTCCAGAGCTTCTCTATCAAATTTTATTTGGATGGTTCTCATTGTGTTTTATTTTGGGATCTTGCTTTTACCTTTGTGTTGGTCGAGACTTACTGGTGCGACACTGGCCCTCTTCAACTGCATTTGCTGCTGTGTATGGAGGTCACGATTTTCAATTTTCTTAAACCCCCGGAATTTGGTTATTTGATGGTTTTCCAGCCTAGGTAGTTGAACCAATGAGATGGCCCTTTTCCTAGTGGCGCGTTTATGACTACTATGAGAAATATAGGTTATTATTAATTGGATAGAATATAGTACCAGTCAACATTGTCCGTACACCATATAATATTTTTTCCTATCATTACTATTGTTATAAGTCATATTATTCATAACAATATTATCAAGCTAATATGTACACAAAATTTTTATGAAGGTCAAACTATTTAATAATAATTCCGACTTCCCAAACTATTAGCTTGATTTACTTACAAAATTTTTAAATAATCTTCACCATGCATATTACAAATGTATTTACTGGATCAAGGTTATTTCGTAAATTATAGTAATTAGTGATTTCATAAGAACTCAGTAATAGTACACTATACTGACGACCCTGGGGGGACCAATAAGAACTGAGATAGCGTCTCGTGGATTTTGCGCGAAATAGGAAGTGGAGTGAGAGATAACTTGTTACTATGATTTAGAAAAAAATCGGCAATATTTGGTTTTTGAAAGTAATAAAACTATATATTAAGGAACCAAACAATGAATATAAGAAGGTGGTTATGCCAAATTACAAGAAATAATTGCTCCTGATGCAGATTGTATGTTAGAGTATTAAATGTGATTCAATCCATAGTTAAGGGTGTTTAGTGTAGCTAGACAGCATTCTCCCACTTTGACTCTCAATCTCAACATGTAATTCCTTAAGTCTGCAAACAAAAGAGTGATAAGTAATCACTCCATGACAGCTGATATCGGTTTGTGATGAAAACCCTAACTATAATTTGTAAATCAAATGTCCGGCGCTTTAACCGGGTTGGTGGACATGGCGAGTTCACCTAGGGGAGTAGGAAAACCCTGATTCCAAACCAATGGTGCACACGGGCTCCAGGATCCTGATGGGACGAATGACGTATGAACCTATTGTTGGTGACCGGCTACCATGGGACTGCATCTCCTCACGATGCTCCACTGCCACGTGGTTCAGACTTTTAGGTCAAAGGCTCGGGGTGTGGCTCCCTAAGAAAACCACCTGCTTCAGTCTGGGCACCTGGACAGTATCTCAGCCCTCACACAAATCAAATGAGATTTGTGAGGCGCATATTTATCTGGTGCTTTTTGTACCAATATTTATGTGTTTAAATAAATAAATAATTTCAAATATTAGTCTTTCAATATTTATGTGTTTAAATAAATAAAAATAAATCGAACTCAACTGCAGCTGATCTAATACCTATCGCTAACCTTTTTGCTTTCAGGCTGGTGTCAGTTGGTCATGAGTTAAATAAATATTTTCATAAAATGTCAATCTAACGTTATCTGTAGGTTGGTTATTTATTTGAGTGGCTAATTTGGATTTATAACTGTAGGAATTGATGATAACTTATCTTAAAGAATATTACAGTAGTAGTGATAACAAAATTCCCTTAAACATGGTAACAGTGAGGGTGAATAAACAAAAGTATTAAAATAATATTTTTATCAGGCTAACTACTAGTAGTTTTATTGTTAAGGGCTTGTAATAGCGTCGAGTCGAGGACGGACTATGATCACCACTACAATTCGATTACGCGCCCAACAACGACTTGGTTCCTTCGATAACTTGAAAATCAGAAGGCTTTAATTAGTCCAGATAAAGTATATTTATTGGCGATCTCGCGGTATCGAAAGAATACCGAGACGTGCCAACGTGTACAAGCAAAGTGGGCAGAGCGTAAGAAAGTTCGAACCGAACAAGGCGGATAGCGGAACAAGAAATGAGTCTGATACAGTTAAACAAGTATAGTAAAACAATCGCTGGTACAATTGGTTACAATAATAATAATTGTTTCTATTATTCCAATCTTGTTCTTATCGAGACAGGCCGGTCACTATAGGCTTGATTGGTCATCCCAATTGTAATTTCCCTTATAAGTAAATAATGTTTTAATACCCTTATTTATTTTACTTCACTGTTACCATGTTTAATAGAATTTTATTATCGCTTATTGTAATTATTATCATCCTGAAAAATAAGTATATATATGCGATTGTACAGCTTTAAAGAATATTCTCGCTATACACATCTGTTACAAGATATATACTTAACGTTTAATTCGGTTGAACATCCGAATATTATCCTTACTAAGTTGAAAGCACTCATAAAGTTGTTTTAGAAGGATTTAAGTATAGCGTCATATTGTTGCTACTATCATGATTTCTTTTGAACCATCTTCACCATTCTGTAATTTTCACTAATTGTGTAAACTGCTTAAATGTAAAATAACCATTACACAACCTTTGAAAGATATGATCGATAAACGAACTCAGTAATGACAACATAAACACCCACTACCACATTAACTTTCTTTGACTTTGCATGACTTTGTCTTGTTTATTCACCAATCATAATTTTTAGGTTTGTCATAAACGATATTAAATTTGCTGACTGATTTTTCGTATGCTCTAGTAGTTAATGTTTGGTATGTTATTTGTGTCGTTTGATATACTGAGTTAATTGTTTTCTGTTTATTAACAGTGTTAATTTACGTTTTAGAAACAGATAAAGTTCAGCAAGCCAAATAACTTACTTGTTCTGACTTTGGCTAAGCTAATACTCTGTGTTCGACAGTCTGGAGAATAGTTTAGGACTGCGTCTATAGGAAATTACTTCCTACAACCTATCCTGCCAAATTTCAAAATCTATTTACACACCACCTATATTTCCGATACAAGCGCATCTTATCAATCAACTGGTGTCCATGTATCACTCAAAGAACCTAGTGATAGTGCATAAGTTAGAAATTTGTCTTTAATTATTCATTCATAACCGGAATAAAAGATTCATGCTCCGTAAGTTTTAGAGACATTCACTTTCTTCGAAACCTTGACTGAATGGTGTGGTCTTATATACAATTAGTAGACACTTTGCAGAAACATATGGAACACACAATGTAGAACACAATACTTTCAATTTATACGGTGCATATTTTATCTATGACGGGGCTGTTGTCACTGAGGAAACATCAGACTGCTCCCTGCTGGAAGAACCTGTGTACGTAAGGACGCTGAAAATATTTTATTTAGATCAGCAGTTTTCTTGATTATAAGTCAGGTTACTGGCGTAGCCTTGACTAATACACGAAGTGTCAGTAACTGGTAGAGCAGTATTCCTTCCTTGTTACACTTGTATCATTTAATTGATAGTCGGTTTGGAGCATCAGGATCAGAGCGAAAGAACTGATGACCATACCTAAAGAAAACCACCAAGAAGTCATTTCCCTCGACGCCTTCAGTTAAATCCTAGAAGCAAGATTTAGTTTTCAGGAGGGAAAGGTGATACGGAGAGCCAACAAGAAGCAGCCTAATGAAAAGTTCAGTCGATAGCAATCAGATGTCACCTTAAGATTAAGTGCATCCCATTAAGTAAATGAGTCGATTTCCTAAGGATAGAGTGGCACACATATGAATGAGCATTTGTGCATTTTATTCAGTAGCCAAATACACTTTCTCGCTCAAGTAGTCAGTTGAGGAGGGGTTAGGGCGTAACAGTATCAGATTTCGGACACCACACATCGCAACACTTTGAGTACGTAAGCTAGGATATGCTACCATAAATGAAGTTTGGGTAACATATTTTCGTAATTTAACACTGAATATCAATCGGAATACTACCATATCATGCACGACCGTAGAAAGTTGATAGACTTCAACAAAAACAGCCTTCTTAAATCACAGGCAATAATTTATTGAATAATACTGAAATCTAAAGGTAGAAATAGTGTTTAGAAAACGAGACTACTTGCATTGAGTTTGAATAGGAACAAAAAACTGATTAGAACATTGAAGTAGTACATGTTACAAAGAGAATGGCATTCTCCACTCAGTGTCTTTCTCAATTACCTACAGCCTTTCACTATACAACCAGGGGAACAAGGTCACATGTACCTGAAAGTTTTGTAATTTTATTTATTTAACAAGCATCTTACATATATGCATAGTGATAAAAGAACTTTGAGTTTCATCTCTGCCAGTACATAACTCTTGTCAACGCAAACGTAGAAACAATGAAGTAAATACGAATGAAAGTTAAGTATTTAGACTTGCAACGATATACCTATTTCATGAATCTAATTTTAATTTAAATGTCCCAACAATAGTGAGACTAATATAGTACTTACAATTACAATTGATCTATTCCGCCTCATAGAAAACATTGGCAATAAGACAGGAAAATGTATTCTTTAGATTTTTATATAAATAACTTCTGTAGATATATTTAAGTGAATAACAACGCATATGTTTTGTCCCAATGATCAGATGTATTCGTATTAAGACTGTACAACCAATACACGTTTAAACATAATCTAGCTTATATAAAAACTACATCCCGTTTATTTCTAACTATTTAAATTGTACCGAAGTTCTTTTTAGGTGAACATTCTGGTGAAGTGTAGTTATACAAAATCAAAAGACTTAAGTACGACTTCCCAACCTACTTGTCCCTCACCCCGCTAAAAATATTCGAACTTGTTTTTTTCAACAGCTTGATGTATTATGTACCCATTCATATCATTTGTATGCAAGGCTCTCATCTGCGATGGATCAGCTTTTCGATATTTATTTCTAATAAAATTCAATAAACGTTTGCCTTAACAGTACAACAGAGGAATATATTTACAAGACCATTGGTCAATTTTTACATAGGAAATTACAATGACTCAGGATCGACGTAACAAATACTGGTTAATAAAAATAGATTATTTGGAGGAGGATGTGGACTTGGGCTGAGTATGGAGAATGTGGACTTGTCCTCGGAAACATTGACAACTACGACAAATCCATAAACAGGAGCTTCTGGAACTTGATAAGGTTCTGAAGCTTGAGAAACTGCCAACAGACGATTTTTCAAATCTCGACTAACTGAAACCTGGATGGGATTACGCCATGTTTCCTCTTCTTGTGCTCCATGTGGGAGAAGTGCATCGGGAATAGCCTCAGTTCCAACTTTGTAAATTGAATACTGAAAATATAAGGAGTAAAATATTCAGAGAATACAAGTGGTGGTGATTAGAATTACTAGTTCCAAAAAATGTAATCCCATGGTGAAAATTTCTAAATAAATGACAGCAAGCAAGGGTAACCAGACACTTTTTGACAGCGCTTACGGGGTGAAGTGAAATAATTTAGCGTATGAATGACATTCATTTAATTAAGGAGCTGAATAGTGACATTTCCATTGTAAATATTTTTAACATTCGACTCCATAATGGTTTCTAGATAAATCCACCTAGTTACTGCTGGTTCCAAGCCCGGGTAAAAGAATAAAATTAACAACTTCAATTCGTAGTAGAGACCTCGTTATAAAAATACTAACCAAAAAGATTTATTAATACCCTTTAAACTCTGCCCTGGGAGTTGAGGGTTTTCATGTAGATGAGCCACGACGCCTCGTGACGAAAGCCGAGAGCTTAATGCACTATTCGACGACCGGAGCAACAATATAGGTACATGGAATGTCTGGACAATGTGGATGACCGCGAGGACCAGTCAAACAGTTGCGAAAATGAGAAGACACAACCTGGCTCTGTCTGAAATAGGTGTAACCTACTGGATAGAAGAAGACTTACTTCACGAGAGCTGTTATTGTATTCTAGTCACGAAAAAGAAAGACCTATAGACAGAAGTGGTCGGACTAATTCTTTTCAGATAAACACGAAAAGCGCATATAGGATGAAAAACCCATGGGTTTACGGTCTTCAAAGCATCCTTCGAAACAAAAAAATGGATTATAATGAATGCCATTTAATCCTATGCGCCCACCAATCATCGCAACGAAGACAATAAAGATCAGTTCTATAAGAGGCTGCAGTCGATCATAGAGAAGTGCCCAGGAAAATACCTGACCATCCTGGTCGGGGACCTAAACGCCAATGTTGGTATGGACAACACTGGGCATGAATACACCATGGGGAGACATCGACTGAGAGAAAGGAACGGAAATGGTGAGAGACTGCCAAATCGATTTCCTCTTAACAACATGGTCATAGGTGGAGCATTCCCCCACAAACTCACACAAAGCTACATATTTTCCACCGGACTACATTATATAAAATTAGATCGTTACATCTGCACAAATAATAGCTACAAAAGGTCCATAGAAGATGTAAAAACAAATAGAAGAGCTGATATACCTTCAGATCACCACCTAGTTGTGATTAGGTTAAAACTAAAATAAAAAACGATTGGACAATCGAGCAAGCAGGATTACAAAAGCTTGGTACAGCATTTCTTCAAGATGCTAACAAGCTTGGTGAATTCAACATAGCTCCCAGTGACAAGTTCCAAGTCTTAAAAGATTTACTGAAAGGGAAAACCACAATGAGTGCAACTGGGAAAAGACTAGGGAAGCAATAACTTCAATATCCTAGATAGTGCTGAGCATCAAAATACAGCACTATTAAGAATGGATCTCTGTAAACAATCTAGGCGAGATTCAAGGACGGAAAGACAAGAAGACAGGAATCAACAACAACCGAACGAAAGCAAAGAAAGTCAAAGCACAGGCCGAATACACAGAAGCAAACAAGAGAATGAAGAGAAGCATTAGAGCTGATTAGCGGAAATATGTAGAAGACTTAGCAACGATAGCGGAAGATTCTGTGAGAGAAGAAAGTGTGGGAAAACCATATGATACAACAAAGAAACTTGCAGGAAAATATGGTAAGCCAGAGCGACCAGTCAAGAACAAAGAAGAAAAACCAATCACTGAGATTCAAGAACAGAGAAACAGGTAGACCGACACTTTGAAGAGCTCTTGAATAGACCAACCTGGTTTCCGTGAGGATTGATCATGTATCGATCAAATAACGACTGAGTTGCAAGGTTGTGCATGGAGAGTAGCTTAGAGATGCATTCTAAGTGAAGGCCAGTGTTAAACAAGGTTAGCTACTCTGGCTTTTTTTCACTAGATAATTTTATATAAACCACACTCTGAGTGTGAGGGCTAATGATTTGGTATATAGTGCCTGAAGGTTAAACGTTTTAAACCACTGGACCATCATTGCTTTTTTTCTTCCTGCTAGCTGTTGACTGCATTATCACGACCTACAAATCTCAGACGAAGCACAGAATACAGTGGATACCTTGGATGCAACTGGGTGATTTGGACTTCGCAGATGACTTAGTTCTCCTATCTCACACAGCAACGAATTCAGATGAATACGGTGTAACAACCTTTTCTTCGGAAATAAGCCCCAATATTTACAAAGTAGGTCAAAGAACATATAGAGATAATTGATGATCAGCCTATGCCCAAACAGAGGTAAGAGGATTAGGTAAGTATGTTTTCCGAGTTAAGGCAGAACTCACAAGACTGATAACCCGATGAAAAACTTGGACATGTAAACTGAAACTTTCTAACCAGATTTATTGTAGAGTCTATCAAACGAGAGGGAAACTGCCTTACAGGTTAAGACCACGCGCTCCACTTACTGCAAGTTTGAGCAGAAAGTGTCAATAGCCCTTATAATCAAAGTGGCTCAAAGATGACTATACAAACTTATGTTTGGTAGGCGAGTCGATTATACAGTTAAATTTCCTAATCCAACGACTAAAACATACAAATGCACTAATATTTCTTAAACCCAACAGACTACAATCTTATTTTAGTGAAAAGTCAATAGAAAAAAAAACTAACCTCAGAAGATTTAAGCGTTATTTGATGTGGATGTAGACGTCTCAAGGGGTTTTCGCCATGTAAATAGGTGCAGACTCGAGAATCTCGCTGACGTGTCCACTGATCTAGACTTCTAGTTATAGCACCTGATGATTTGGGCAATCTTACTATAGTTACCTCGGGAGGAAGATCTTCACGCAGGAACGAAGCCAAAAATCCATCTTCTATGACCAATAATGTGTCAACCTAAAGAACAAGGTGCTTTTAATTTCATGAATATAAAAATATATATAACGCACTCAGTGGATAAAAGTGTATGTACTCAGCTGTAAGTTATACATTTTATTAAACCTAGTGATACTTTCTATTTGCCTGAGTAGAAATAGGCAAATCAAATTTAGAACATCCAATGCAGTGTATCACTACCGAGGTTTGACTTGATAATTCCAAAAAATATAGCATTTGGTGGATTATTTAAAAACAAAACAAAATAGTGCAATAAATATCTTATGATTTAATAATTTTCCCCAGAAAACCGTTAAAACTTTACTAAAACGAAACAATTAGTCGTTGAATGGTAAATCAAACCAAATATCATAGACCGCAGTTTTACCTTTAACCATCTTTTCAAAAAACAACATTTGATGACTTCGAGTTCGATAGCATAAACACACAAACTATTCTTACATCTTCACCTTTTTGACGTCCACTTCGATATACAAAAATGTACATATGTCTTGTCCTTGACCTAAATGATGGCATTGGCGTGATCAGAATTTTTTAAAAATTGTATTAAACATTTTGATTTGCTCTTCAATAATTTCTTCAAACCCTAATCTTTTGGATTTCTGATTATACTCCTACTACTTCTACCACTATGGGATTTGAATCGACAACTGCATCTCTGTGCTAATGTGGTATGGCAACTCGAACTGATGTACGTACGTACGAAGTTCTACGTTGTGACTGACTGACTTCTGTGACATACAGAACTATGCTAATTTGCTTTGATTATTTATTCATTTTTTGTGGATGTAACTTAAATAAGTTACAAGATTTTAGAGATTCAATTTCCTACTAAATGGAACATTACAAATACATCATTTTATCAATTTATATGTAATGCAGTGATTAGAAATCAATTGCTTTAATCATTAAGTTAATGGTTCGTACGTATGACTGTAGTGTTATGTCCTTCAGTTCGCTTCGCACGATGGAGAAGGCGCGTGAGCCAACTCGATTTAACCAAACGTGAATTGACATTTATAATCAGGTGAAAATAAGTTACAGACATGTTATGAGTAAGATAGTAAATGCACACACGCTTACAATAAAATAAGTCAAGGTTGACAAGCGAACAATTAACAAGGTCAAAATGTGACTCAAGAAGAGTGAATAAATTGGCTTGTCCGGAAGCTAGAATAAGCTATGTGGGCTTGCATAGCTCCACATGATGCACTGATAAAGAACGTGGTGAATAGACTGGTAATTTAGATCTGCTGAAGCGAACAGAGGTAACAACAGTATGGAGGGTGCAATATAATATTTCTTACTACAAAGAAACAGTGAGATAACCTTAGTGTTTGGTGAATTTTAGTAAATATCGTACCTCTTCTTTTTTTCTATTTACTATGATTACAGATCAATGAATTCAACTCCATTACACTTTGTTACTTATCCTGATCATAATTTCTTTTTGACTGGATGGGGAGCTTAGTTGCTAAAGCATTCAATATTCAGCTGGTAGGTTGCAAGTTTGAACCGCGCTCTACCTACTTCGGTTAGGACAACAACCTGGTAGTATGGTTAGCCTCCAAACAACTAAAAAGTTATTGAAAACTGAATATATAAACCTATTCCTGGTATAAATAAGTAAATCAACCAACTCCTTTCCGGGTACTTTAAATATATAATCAACTGTTTATACTCATATTCTTAAACGATTGTTTTGACTAGTTACAAAACTTCTAAAAGTTTGTTTGAATGTCAAGTCACCTAGACTAGCGACCACATTGCAGCGTGATCGGAAAAACAAAAAGTTACACTGAATATAATCCATTGTGAAAAATTTGTCGTTCTTGTTCCGTTCAAGTATATAGTACACTGGACGATTGATGATAAACAGGAATTCGAAAGCAGAACTTCCATATTCAATTATTTTTTATTTCCAGAAGATTCCAAGTTTGAATTTCGAGCGTGTTTCATGTCTATACTAGCTTAATACATAATGGTAACTTTAGCAAACTAGTTAATGATTGTTTCCAGGTTTAGGAGACATTGATATTTTATAAACAGTCAACGCTGATTTAATTTTGCAAACGAGAACTATAAGTAACATGACATTGGAAATTATGCCGATGAGCGAGATTTAAAATATTTACTTTCATTTAGGTATGAAATTCAATTGGTTTGTAATCAATAACTGGTTATCCATCCTTATGCTTATAAACAACTCCAGACAATCAATCGAGCGCTAGTGATGTTTCGTTTGAGTTTTGTTAAATTATTTGCAAGTAGTCTGATTTGAAGATTTAATATGAGGCAACGCTTAGACTTCAATTACAAAGTAGATAATCAACTATTACTAGAAATCATTTTGCCGTCGTCTATCAATGAAAGATGGATTTTATCCCTTTCTTTTTGAAGATCTATAGTCATTTTGAGTTTCAGCTGTTTATATCAGTTAATATTATGTAAGATAAATTACTATGCATCTGACAATCAATTAATGAAGTAGGGGTTTTGTGGAGATTTAGTATTTTCATAGTTGAAAGCGTGAGTCAATTGAAGCTAGACCACCATGGAAAACCTGGAAGCACTGGATGGCCGTTTCGTCATATTACGGGACTCCTCAGCAGTGCGCATCCACGACCCCGCCTGACAAGATTCGAACCCAGAACCTACCAGTCTCGCGCCAGAGCACTTAACCGATAGATCACTGAGCCGTTATCCGAAGGTGTTAATGTCTAACTTCAACTGATCCATGAAGCTGAGCAACCGTTCACCAATTGTCTTCAGTAAGTTGATATCTCACAACAGACGTGGTTTGAACTCCACTGGTCACTGCTTCTTACTAGAACTCATAGATTTACCTCTCGAAGTCAGTCAATAGTGAGCATATGATTATTGTTATTATTATCAGAAGGGGTTTTGTGGAGATTTAGTATTTTCACAGTTGAAGCAGTGACCAGTGGAGTTCAAACCACGTCTGTTGTGAGATATCAACTCACTGAAGACAATTGGTGAACGGTTGCTCAACTTCGTGGATCAGTTGACATTAATGAAGTAATATGTAAATAAAATGGATTCATTTTATTGCATAGTATTTTATCACCAATTTACAACTTAAACATAATCATAATGGATAGGGACTACATTTATTTACTAAACATTAACTATTAATAACATAAAATTACATATTTTTTTCATTTTAACATTGTAAACTTTGCATATCATTCATATTTATCACATCTTATAGACTCATATTATTCAACTGAATAAAGTCAACTTTTTGTTAAATGATCAGGAACAAGTACATTTAGGTAAGATGGTGGTTGGAGGTGGTCAACAGGAAACCCTGGACCCGGGTTTCGTGCTACTTGGCACTCGTCAGCAAGGTGTACCTGTAATCTTTGAGGGAACTGATGCTCCCTGGCGGATTCGATCCCGTGTCACTTAGCTTCACAGTCAGAGACGTTACCACTGAGCTATTCGGGCCGCGACCAACCTCCTGTAGGACTGAGATGTAATCACAATTGATTGATCACTGGGTGGTGATCAATGTCATGCATGTCAAGTCCTTCTTAGTGCCACCTTCTTAGCCACCTAGACTGGTGGCCACATTGCAACTTGATCGATAGCATTCGATCAGCACTAAGAAGGACTTGACATGCATGACATTGATCACCACCTAGTGATCAATCAATTGTGATAACAAGTACATTTACCTTACTTATATATACACACTCTGATTTATATTAAATACAATTATTTTTCCGACAAAAAAAATTATTTTTTGAATATTTTAACATTATAACTATGTATTTAATGATTCATATTTTATATACAATCCATGTTTTAAAAACATTTTCAATTTGTACTTTTATTTTTTTTTAATTTTGAATAAACAAATTACTTATATTTATTCACCAAAATATCGTTTGGCGCACATATATCTGGTGCCCCCTTGTACCAATATTTATGTGTTTAAATAAATAAAAGAAACAACTAAATATCAACTAAAAGTAATGTAAGTTACATAAACCATATACACATTCATTCTTATTCACAATGTGTATTTTTCACATTATTCACATATTACTGACATCATATGTATTCTACATACTAAAGTCAACAACCAAATATGAAATTAGATAAGTTTTAAGAGTAGATTTGTTTGTTAAACATTATAAATTCTTTTGATAATATTCATTTTTTATTATTATCCTGAAGACAAGTTTTCTGGACAAAATATTGGAATTATTTAATTTTTAAATATAATTTTCACAAATAATGTCTTTTCTTTACTAGGTGACTAATTTCTGTTAAACTGTTTATTTAAATGTTGACAAATATTTGTATGAATTTTGTTTTGTTAGTATTTTGTAGCATTTAAGATTTCATTGATGTGAAATTTTGAGCTAAATCAATGTGAATCTATTAGTTTACTTCCTCATGTGGAACAGGTTATATTGGCCGCACAAAGCGAGCTCTTTAGAAACACATCTCTGAACATGAACCTGCCTAGTTCTCCAAAAGGATTACAAAAGTCAGTGAAAAGCTCAATCTTGGAGAATCTAGTCGATTAGGGTCACTTCACTTCATCAGAAGCCTCCTTCAAAGTCATAAATACAGTCAGAAGAGTCAACTCAATAGGAATGCAAATGAAAAACTTATGTACAGCAGAGGCTATTACTACCCACCAGTTTAAGCCTAACCTTTGCGCACAAACACAATATGTTCAGTCCCTCTTTCTTCGATGGTCTTAACCTCCCTTTCTATTTTCCATAATCTATCGTTATTTAATTTATTATTTCAACTCCTTTCCAATTATTTTTATAACCACTAATTACAACTTTTAGTTATTCTGTTCTTAAAAGTTATCAAGTGGACAATTATCTTCATTTTAACACTTTTTAACCAGCCGATAATTACATTACTTCCTTCCAATATCTGATCTCTAATTCTCGACAACATACCACTTCAAGTTTTTTAATTATTTAACATCATTCTATCTTATCATAGAATACTATTTTAGCAAACAAAGCTAACTATAAATACGATTGTATAGCTTAAGTAAACGAAATCGTCGAAAAGAAAATTTTCTTCGCTGAATTGCGTTTTCTTTTTCAATGATATAATGGGTCTCTCCCGTTATTTACCATTTACATTTAACGCGATAGACTAACTTAGTTAAAATATCTTGTCTATTGTAACATAATAATTTTGGACTTGTGACTATAAAGCTTGATGAAGCTATTGAGTAAAATAGTTCGCTCTAATATTCTTTGTTCTCCGATTTCAAAATCATTCAAAATTATTAATAAGCAAACAACATTGAACTTGATGCGTTTTACCCAAGCCATAGCTATTAAAATGTTTAAAAACAAGATTTATGCATTCAATATGATAATGTTTTCACTCTTACTTTGCCCTGGTGACTTAATCTTCCAAAGTGTAGTTCCGGAACAAAGCTTTGTTAATATTTTGTAACTAATTTTCTCCATACTTGTTTGAGTTTTATCTGAACTTCACTTATTTTCGCTGATCCATTTTCTTGTTATCATTGTGCAAAGTTGAATTATCAATCAACATTTTCATTAATTTGTCTCCATGTTTTTTTTAATAAAAATACTTTCCCCTATAACTTTTATATCAGTTAACATAGAACTATTCAACGATTTGGACGGTTTTTAGGATGATTGCTAAATAAAATAAGATTGTTAGTGTTGTGATGACTCGTATGCAATGTTAACATGAATCAGCTTATACCTTAAGTGAAATAGTGAGATTCATGATCAGAATAAACATGGGTACGATAGAATAAAAGGAATAGTGGTGCAATCAAGAATTCGATCAAATGTTTATTATCGTTTAAAAAAAAACTGTATTGATGAAAACTTTTCTGATATATTGATATAAATTGTGTACACTCATTTCTAGTGGTTAATACTATTATGTTCAGGATGTAAGTACTTGATAAGCAGTCACTAGGTAAACTGTATTCATGTTATTACGCTACGCTGATACTTCTTGCTTTATTCAAATTTATCAATGGGTAAAATCGCATGAAATATTTGAATTTTGATCATAAAAAAATCATTTATTTGTTGAAAAAAGTAAATTAGTTTTTGAGGTAGTAAAATACGTTGTTAACTTACTTCGAAAGCTGCAGCAGTCGTTCGTATGGCTTGTATACCCTTTTCTTTACTTGACCCACCATCTGAATCATCTTTACGAAATCCACTCATATTGATTATACAACCGCTAGTGAATATACTCATATCATTTTCAGAACGAATATTGATAAGTTCAGCTAGTCGATTGACCTAAAAGACAGTGCCAACGAGAAAGCAACCTGAATTATAGTCTCAAAAACTAGTAAATAATCATTAGTGTTGGAGAGGTTCCAAAAAGTCCCTAGAGGCCCAGAAACGCCTGGAAACATTGCATCCAATCAACGTTGAATAAAATCTCTGAAGAAACATTTAGAAAATTCAGAATCACTTGTCACAGTTTTGATTCAATATTTACCTATACTACCACTATATTCATCATGATTCCAGAAATTACCGCAACTCCAAAGCCGTATGTATCTCCACAAATACCCTTTTTTCTGCTTATAAAATAACCTTGGAATGAGACTTTTTACCCGCATTTAGCGCTCTATCTCTATTGTTCCAATTGATGTGTAGAATTAGTTAGGTTTATGGGAACCAGATGAGAAGACAATTTAGGCGTAGCGGAAGCAAGACATATATATATATATATATACTTAATATATTACAAAAGTTAACCTCCCAATTAAGTGTTCATGTACTTGACTGATGCATATTTATTGCAAAAGCTAGTTAAATCATTTAATTTTCCGAAACTAAGTAGAACCAACAAGAAATAAGAAGAAACTCGTGTCCTGGATTCCAGTGATAGGCGAAAATCCACTTATTCTATAAAAGGATCTAACTAGGTTCGATTTAACATCCTGGATCCAATTAAAAATTCATTATTTGAGAACAACTACGTAAAACTGATTCTTACGATGAATGGAATATGTAAAAGGCAAAGTCAACAAAAGCATGTTCAATGAACTGGATACAAATTTCGAATTACTAGAAATGTGACGTCATCGTTTTAAATAAAGCAGATGAGAATGGAGGTCATAAAAACTTTGCGGAACTTCGAGTTTACTGATCATATCTTTTCTCAAAATGTCTCCATTTTGTAGCGAAAAACTTGTCCTATCTGTTTCTAGTATTGAAAATGCTTCTAAAAATAATGACAAATTAAACTCTTTAGGTGTTTTGTTAGAATTGTGTGGGCAGATTTTCGAAGATTCACCTTACACGCAATCATCTATACAGCGATCGGAAAGCCTAAAAGGTCGCACATATTCTGCATTTACATCAACATAAAAAGCTGACAGTCGTCCTGACCTGACGATTTCCCCTGTAGTATTTACAGCTAACATTGATCCACTTTAAAAAATTGCTTTCTCCAAATGTTTATTGCCATAAACAGCTCTAAAGATGTAATGAACTTCCTGAGGTTCACTCAGAGTTTATGAAAAAACTTTAGTGGTCTAGTTTGCATGTTTACTGAGCAGACCATGTACATGACTGAGTGAAAACAATTCGAACTAAGTTATTTGGTGAAACAAACCAACCTCTTTAGCACCTACTGGACCTAAATCCACATGTAACAGACCTACTTTACATGATATAAATAATTGGTGATCATGTTCACTCATTGATTCAACTCTTTAAATGATATACTATATAGCCTCTTCTCGAGTGCGTAGAGATTTTCAAATACATAAATTTAAAGGAAAATGCTACACTGGACAAATAGTAATTAGAAAAACAGTAATTAAACATACTTGTTCTCGAAAAAGATTTAAGTTACTTGCGGGATCGGTGTGACCGAAACAAAACACTAGCGGATCTTCCTCTAGACTCCACCCTTCCATCAAATCATATGGTTTAGTAACACTTATTGCGGCAATAGTTGCTGGTATACACACCTGTTATGTATATAATTAAATATATATAGAGATCTAAGTTGTTAATGAAGGAGGAATGCGGCAACATTGAAAACGACAAAATATAGTTTTGAAAACTAGTCATAAGAATTGAAAATGTCGGAAAAAATATGATTGAACCACACCATTCAAAAATACGATTACAAACCAAGTGCTCAGGAATAAGGTCACATCTATTCCACATAAATTTAAAAGTAGTGTTATAACTTATGGTGTCTGTGAATTGATACTGACACGTGATCTTCCCATATACAAGCTCAATCAGCTACTGAAGTGAAAAGGCTGAGAGTGACCAGCAGAATCGATACATATGTGTACTCATTTATTTACAGATATGCGTCCCTTAGGAAATTAGGTCATGTCACCCAAAGTCCCAAACCACTGATTACAGTTATTGCGTGAAACCCAACCAGGTAGCCCCTATCTACTAAATGGCTCATATCAACAGTTAACCATGCGTTGAAGACATATACGATTAATAACTTGCAGCCTACGCATGTTTTTATTTTCATAGACCATGTTATACAGCCACAGAATAACAGAGAAGACTACTGCATAGTACACTCGCTCTCTGGTTGACAGACAGATATCTCGCCTATTCCACAAGTAACGTAAATTGAAAAAGGTCAGACATCAACCTATCAGGGCTGATCAGGCTTACAATATAAGCGAAGTGGTGTTAGAGTACTTAAATGTACTACATGATGAAGAGCAGTCACTCATTTCGTTAAAATTAGCAGTCAAACCTTTGGTGGACGAAACAGAGAAACATCATGCATTGGTTTATAGTGAGAATGATTAATATCCAAAAATTTGATTGTTAACAACTATTTTTAGTAACTATAGATTATCACCAGTTCACTGAACAATGACTTTAGACCTGACACTTTAGTACATGTTTTCTAAGTACTTTAAATTCGGGGCCGATAATGAATTTTTTATTCATCAGCTCCGTTTGCCTCGGTAATAAAACTAATTTTAATAGCCATTTAAATATACTGTAAAGCATTTTAAAGTTCAAATGCAGAGTTTGTAAAATGATACTGGGGTGTTTTAATAGCGAAATTTGACTGGACATTTTGTAATCATCCACTAAGTTAGATCCACATCATATTAAGTTTTTTGTCATAGGTTGGCATTATTCATGAAGAATCTCAGTAGTCGATTACGCAGTTATTGACAAAGATTATTGACGTTTACAGAAATTAAAACCTTATTCTTATCCACCAGAGCTAAATTACACACGAGTAAGGATAGCCACACATACCAGTTAGAGTTAAATAAACATTTAATATTTCGTTGAAAGTAAACGAAATCTACATACTAAATAAAGAAATAGAATTCACATATGACAGGTGTTTGATGGATAGACTCTAATTACTTAATTTTTCGGAGATATTTGAAAAACTGAATATATAGTTGCAGAAAAAGAGTAACTAGAAGAAAAAAGCATTTGCACAATTAGAAAGGAGACGAATTTGATTACGTATGAAGCCATACGTGAGCCAAACCAGAATAAAATACATCAGATAACGAGAACTGGTTGGTAGGCTTTTAGGAGTTTCATATCGGTCATGGTAATATTGACATAAAGTAAAACATTGACATTTGAAGGTCGATTTCAGAAATACCCTGATACATGTTGACTAGATATTTTACAAAGACTAAAGCGAATCTATAATAAAACTGATTTAGATTACGTAGAAAAAGTTTTACATAACAAGTGCGATACCTGGTTAAGTCCGACGTTAACATCTACAAGTATTGGCTTGTGTTTTCTACGGGCCGCATAACTTGCCAAAGTGCGACAAAGTGTAGACTTCCCAACACTTTCTTGACCACATACTAATACGCGTGGTCCTCTACTTTGCTCCTTTACAGCTTTTTGTCGTGAAACTTCTAGGTTTGCATGAATGTTCATATATACGTGCACAATTTCTTGATCTTCAGATGACGCGATTATATAGGCAGCAACTCCCTGGTCTTGAACAATCAGTTTACAACCATGGAATGTAACAACTGTTCCTCGTTGACCTGGATATAACTGTAACTCCCAACCACAAACGAGTTCAGTACCAAAAACTTCAGCAGCACCAGAAACTAAAGTCAAGCCAGATGGCGAAGTGACTTCAAAACGAAGCATCTGATATTTCTCCAGAGTGTATGATCGAATAGACGGGTTAGATCGTGTAAAATCCTTCACGCCATTCATTTCTACTAAATGTGGATTCACCAGTTTTATGACTTCCTCTTCAATGAAATGATGGCAGATTATGCAAAAGCAGTTGGAAAACTAGTTTGAATAAAATAAGAGATCTACAAAGGAAATGGTAAAGTTATGAACCATATATATAACTAAGAAAAGACAGGTGAATAAAGAACAAGATGAAAAATACAAACAAGTGAGGTTCACTTAGAGAAAAAAACATGTAAAATATTCAGTGATTTAAATAAAGAAATTTATTTATTTAAACACATAAATATTGGTACAAAGGGGTACCAAATACATATGCGTCACAAAATAGCAATGAGGACGAGAAGATATAGAGAATGTAAAGTGCGTAGAGAAAGGAAAAACAACAGCGAACAGAAATCAGTGTATGAGAGTGAAATAATAATTAGAGAGGCAGTTCAGTTAGCAAAAATATAACCCGAAAGAATTCTTCCAGTTAAAAATTCACGTCCATTCTTTATAAAAGTAAAAGAAAGTTACAGCAGGATCACCACTGGCTTCTATTCTGAGCCATATCTGATAACGTCTCAAGTCAATGTGTTACATCATCTCTAGGACCCAAACTAGGGAGTCGTGAAGGATCAACAGAAGCCAGTCCTGTAAAACTTTCATACCACGACACCATGTCATACACTGACCTCCTCTCCGCTTTTTCCAGCCAGTCCCAGAGTCGGCGAATAATGAACGATGTGGAGTTCTCTGAGACGACATTCGTAGGACATTTCCAAGCCACCGAAGTCGATGTTTCAAGATAGTGACACTATTTTAATTATCATCTCTGTCCCCGAACACACGATGCCGAACCTCTGCATTACTAACATGGTGTTGCCACTAGATGTCAGCAATCCTTCGGAGACAACAATGATCAAACACAGAGCTGTCTAAGCTTCTCAACCCGGAGAGGCCAGGTTTCACAAGCATAGAGCAAAACTGCTATCACTGACACGTTATAGACCCGACCTTTTACAGCCAGACTAACATCACGAAGGCGTCAAACGTGGCCTAGATTGGCATAAGCCTCTCTGGCCTTTATTATGCATGAACTGATCTCACCTCTCACGCCACCACCAGCACTCATGCAACTACCCAGACACACGAAATTCTCGACTACTTTCATCCCCTCAATACCCAGGATGAGGGTAGGTTCAGGGTTCCACATCACCATTACCTACATCCATCAGAGCTGTTTTCAAAACGTCATCGATGGCAAATTTGAAGCGGTATGGTGAGATTATGCGGCCGTGGTTATGTCCTCTCACTCTGCCTGAAGTGTTTTTATATACGGCTATCAAGATGTCAATAAACTCAGGCAAACCCTTCGTCAATAGACAATCCCGGAGAACAGTTCTGTCCAACGAATCGAAGTCGGCCCTGATGTCAAGAAACAGTACGATTGTTGACCTGCGATAAATATGACGGTGTTCTAGCTGTAACCTAGGATCGGGCACATATATGCATCGGTTCAAGTTGCCACACCTCATTAGCACAACAACATGAACACAAAATTCATAGAAATAGTTACTTCAATGGTAGTAATATATAAAAGAAAGATTGTGTATAAGGATACAATACAGGAAGAAAGAATTAGTTCGTAGAAACAAAGGTATAAAGCAATTTTAATCTCACGACCCTTGTAAGCAACTCGGTCAGTTCCTTAACCAGAAGGTCACTACCATCTTTAAAAAGGGTTGGACGTAATTCATCTGGGCCTGGTGACTTGCGACACTTTGAGAGTTGGAGTTCCTTGCGGACTTCCGTCTCGTTAAGTGGATCAGTCGTCACAGGCCATGGAGTACAGGACAGTTTGGTCGATGTTGCCGGGGCAGCAAATCAGCTGATCTGTTCCTCGAAAAACTCTGCCCACCATCCAAGACGTCGGTAGATGTTATTGGTCGGTATACCGTCATCTTCACAGATTGCTTCACTCACACCAGACTTCATGCTTCCAGTGACCCGGATGAGTTGAAAGAGCTTCCGGCAGTCACCAGATGCACCCTACTGCTTCCAACTCATTGGCACGCTCCGAACACCAGACTTCTAGGTCCTTACGTAAGCTTTTGTCCAATTTCATTGAGCAACAGTCTTCGTTTGTTGTCAAACTCGCGGTCACCTGGAGTAAACAGACGGGCTTTTTGAGTTAAAAAGGAGACTGGAGAAATCCCGTACTTAGAAGCAGGACGTTTCGCGAGGCCGCAGGCATCTTTGCTTGCCAATTTCATGGCGTGATGCAATCGCAACCAATACTCATCTATACTTTTCGTTGGGATAGTAGCTAGCCTTGAACATAGCTCGGTTTGATATTTAATTACAACAGAAACTGCAACAAATCTGCTGACATCGATCTGTTTAGGACGATGAATTTGTTGGCCACTGAAACGTAAAGTGAGATTAGCGCGAACAAGGGCATAATCAGAGTCCAGATAGGTACTCCAAAAGGAGCAGTAGTCTGGTACATAACCACGCCAGCGGTAGCTGATAGCGATGTGATTAATCTGAGTCTAGGGTTAAATCATAAGTATGTTAGATACTAGAGTACTTTGGGGAATAAAAGATTAATGAGGAACGCCACAAATAAGGAATCGACCCTGTAACAAGGATCTGATTTCGGTTCAGTTACTACAGAAACATAATGATAACTACTACTGGTCTCATTGTTATTGTGTGGCACATATGTATTTAGTGCCCCCTTGTACCAACGTTTATGTGTTCAAATAAATAAATAATAATCGTAAGGTAATAAGACCGAGTCACCATTTTTACCAAATGAGAATGTACATCAGAACTGCAGTTTAGATCAGTCTAATCACAAAAGGTTCTTGCAATTTCCCAACGATAAGTTGAATCAAACACATCACTGTTGGGTTAGGATAACAATATGTCAAGTTACTAGTTAGGAAAGGCTTGTTCGCTAAGAACCTAAAAATTTACAGAACTTCGGAAACTCATCCCACTAGGCTTTGAACATGAGAAGCGAAGGCAGGTTATACGTAGATTGATAAGAAACTTACGCAATCATGGTCAGTGGTGAGGAACAAAAGCAAAGGTGGTGATAGGTGACACCATGTAACCATTCCGATCCATTAAGGGAGCATATTAAGAATTTAACTGTTAATGAAACCCTCATGAAGAAGGACAAGATCATTATTCATTATGAATCCAGAATATTGCAGAAAACCTTAAGCAATAGTCCAACTGACCTCTAGTTACCCACCACTCCAAAACAACCAGAATGAGAGATTGAAGCATGTTACTCTATCTTCATGAAATTGGAAAAGTTATAAATAACTTGAACGAGGTCTGATAAATTAGCTCTGGAAAGTTTTAAGGAATGTGGTCCAGTTTTAGCAGTCAAATTGATTACGATATTAACTATAATATGAGAACTAGATGTCACCCTGTGTAACTGGCTTTTACCACAGATAGTACCAGTTTATAAGGATAAAAATTCTCCACTTATAATCACAGGAATTAGTTTGACGAATATTAACCAATATATTAGCTTCGATAATCATACTACGCTTGCCAGGGACTAGTGGATAGGAAATCCGGGAGAACCAAACTGGTTTCAGTTTCGGAAGTAGATGAACATACAACGATTTATCTTATCTTACTTCATGGGTGTTAAAATCAGAGGATATTCGTAGATTATCAGTATTTGATAATAGGTTTCCTTGAAGCATAGTCAAGAACCATCCAATGACCAATGCTAAGGTTAGGCACAAAGTACTAGGAAGAGACAGAGAATCGATTAATGAGGTAGTGAAGTGGTTTGGACATGTAACCGATGGTTAGAGACCTTGAATGACATGGCTCAAAATCGTTTGCAATGGCGAAGGTGCATCCACTCTTTGTGTTCTACCAAATTCTACCTTTTGAATTCTTCATGTCCCTATCCTTTTTCTCTTTCCAAATTTATTTCACAGTATTATACTCCTTCAATAACATCTTCAAACCCTTATCTTTCACATAATGCTTATACTTTTACTACTTCTACCAATATAGAATTTGAATCAACAACTGCATCTCTGTGCTGATTTGGTATGGCAACTCGAACTGATGTACGTACGTACGAAGTTCTACGTTGTGACTGACTGACACACCCCTAATCACTGCCTACTTCAAAAAGCAATTAGTGTAGGAGTAAGTTTGAAGAAAGTTAAGAGCCGCCAAACTAAGATCAATTTCATGAAGCCACTGGCAAATGCACTGAGACATGAGATGTAAAACCTCGCTTAATTTAGACTACTTTACGCCGCCTGTAAGACAGGATAGATCTGCCCATTTATGAAAAGGTGAGTACATATTTCACGAGTTTGCTGTCTTACGATGAAACAACCTTTTAAATTGACATCATGAGTAGATCTCTTAGTATTAGATCACATGTATTTTCAGAACTGTTCGTGTACGATGGAACCATTCGATTTTGGAAGTTACAAGTCTGCCGACGAAGTGATAACTCTCTATTGCATACAATAGAGTAGAAACGTGATACAAACGCCCATTCTGATGCTTTGTGCTGGCTAGTATATGATTAGATTGGAATATGGGTAAGTCGCTAAACTGAGATATTACAATTCATAAGGACATATATTATTGGAGTAGGTTCGTAGGTTTACTACCTGGGATCTAAAAACAAATCTATGGTTGGAGACCGAAGGTGAGATGATATAGCGTCAGTAGCAGTGGCATGTATGCACTCGTACTTTATATTCCTCGATTTTAAACACCATTTCTTTACGCTGAATAATCAAACCATATCACCGACAATGATGGTAGATAAAGGATCTTTGGCTAGAAATGTAAGGGACCAGAGATCTTTATAACATTTCTACGTGGTTTGTGAAATTTTCAAAGTCTATGGTCAGGTTCTGAAGCTGGAAATAAAGAATACTTGCGTAGATATACAGACTATATATCTTTAGCAAAAGTATGAACAGTTTTATAAGTATTACCACGAAGCCCTCATAACTCTTGTGTAA